AAGCAGCATTCTTACTCCGTCATACTCACTGTGATTTTTTTTAATAGCATATATTATCTGGACTAGTCTCTTCTGCATAAGCCAAACTAACATGGACAGCACTGAAATAAATTAAAACTGCAAAGTCAAGAGGATGCTTGCTATTAAGAAATGTTCCAGAATTAAAAAAATTACTCATAGTAATATTATGACATTTAAAATATTATAATTGCTCCAGGGATGGACAGGCATAGTACCTTAAACAATAATCACCGTACACAAAGAAAAGCAAATAAATAATATAGCAACGTATCAGACCTTTCCTATAATGAGATGATAGTCCTTTACTGTATTTATATTTTGATAACATCATTAAATGTACTACTTTGCTCCTGATACTTTAACTGCTACAAGACTTATTTCTGTTCTCAACTGAAGCAGAGGTCTGAGCTAATCAAAGCTAAATGAGATGAAAAATGAAACATATTTCATCTGAACAGTGATGTTTGAAAAGAATAGGTTTAGACACTAGAAAGAAAAAAAAAATAATTTACTAAGTTGTGTATTTAAAGCACACAAGCTGAATACTGTTCCCTTGATTTATTAGTCCAAACTATTTCAGATGAGCACAGGTTCCCTGTGGAACAGACTATGAAAGTAACACATAATATTGCTATCTTCAGTGCCAAACCTAATGACAATAAACAAGCAGGGAAGGAAAAATAGGAGAAATGTCCCAGAATTTCAATATAGTAAAAATAAAATTTCAATATTCAAAATCACACTAGAAGAATGGCAATAATAAGAAAATCTATATAATTTAAAAAACCAAACATGCTTCCTATGGCAAACTCTTTGCTCTCAAGCATACTCTACAACAGTGAAACTATTGTATAGTGGAATTGAACTATTTAAAATCACATATCATGGCCAATACTAAACATTAAAAAAAAAAAAAGTGACCAAACTTGGAATATAAATCTTTGCCTTAGGCAGGGGACATTACTATAGAGTTTGATAAGAAGGGTGTACTGATATTTAAGAAAATCTAGTACTTCTTTTAGAAATGGTTTTTGAACCCTAGCATGTTTCAGTAACTGGAGCAGAGACAAAAATGCTATTCAGTTATGATGACAGCTGATACAGTCTTCATTAGAAACAAAGAATTCAAGGTAACAGTAGTGAGATATATCAAACTGGAAGAGAAGTACATTTATATTCCTATTACAGTGATTTTCATTCTTCCTTATTCCCAATAGCTTAAACCACATCTGACCCATAAATTCTCTTTAACCCTTTCATTACTTCTGAGATTTTCAAGTCTCCTGCAACTCTTTTTGCACATCAAATGAGAATCCCAAGAACACATACAGAACATTAATACGTTTCCCACAGGTTTCTAAAGTTAAAAAAGATTTGCCCTACATTTTGCCCTGGGGACATGGAAATGTCTTTCAGAAACTGATGCATATTGACTGGAATGAGGAGCTAATGTGGAGCTGATTCCTATGAAATCATCACTTCAGTGGTTTATGGTAGTATTACAGCTCTGTCTCACCATGAACAGATACATTATTTCTATGGCTCTTGGTGACTTCTAAAAATCATGAGCCTACATGAGAGAGCAAATATGCTATCATTTTTACATACAAAAGTAGAAAAAGTCCTAAATCAAAAATTTACTTCAATGGATGATAAAGAGTAAATATTCTGTATGTATTTCAGAGAACTGTAAAAGTCTAACATGAACACTCAGTAATATTAAATTTGAGTAAGGAAAGGCTAAGTAAACACTTTAGTATTACATGTATTCTGGTCACTTGTAAAGATGAGCATGAATCTACAAAAACTATATCAGAAATACCCTTGGGACCTGGTGGGTTGGCAGTGTTAGGTTAATCAAGTCGGACTTGATTATCTTAAAGGATTTTTCCAACCTAAATGATTCTGTGGTTCTAAGCAGTAACAAAATTATGCTCATATAAAAAGAGCATCTGGAAATTCATAGAACCACGCTAGTTTCCAAGCACACCTGCACAGCTACATACAGTGTTTCTGGCTGAAATTGTTTTGAGACAGACACCAAGAGTACAAGGTTCTCTTTCATTTAATGAATGGTTCTAATTTGTGAAACAGTTTGAAAGTTGGATTTAAATCTGCATTTAAAACAGCTATTGTTGACTCTTCAATTTCTGAAAAAATATAATGAAAGTTTGTTTAAAAAGCAACTTTTCTACAATTGCAGCAACATAAGAATTCACAGGAGCTTAATCTTTTTGAAACTGTAGAAGTTCAGAGTGATTCTGATAGACTGTAATTAATATGAAAAAACCCCACAGTGACCTCTGCTTGGGAGCACATTGGAACACATATTGAATCACAGTGCACTTAACATTAAGATAATCATTATATCTTCTACAAATCATTAGAAATTTTATTTTTTGAAATGAAATTTGATTTTCATTGTTTTCTCATATAATCAATTATTTTATTTACATTTTTGCAACCAAAGAATTAAAGTCTGTCATTCTGTCAAGAGACTAATTTCATACCAAAATACATACAAACTAGTATTTTGGGGGAAAACACATTGCCTTGTGTTTTTTTATATTGCAAATTGGTGCTTACAAAAATTTAAAATTGACAAAAAATTAATTTTTAACTGAAACATGTCTTGGGCGAGAAATAATGGAGGGTTTTTTTCCCCCCTTAAACAGCAGTATTTGCAGTTTGTTGATAACTCACAACCAACAGTCTTAAAGCTTTGCACATCATTGTAAAGAAGTACATATACTGTGGAGCTATTTGAGAGACATAACTCCACAAACTTTGTCGTAACTTTGTCATTTTGCATAAATGCAAAAATGAATAGTAAATAATGAAACGTGACTTAATTTTCCAAAGATTGTAACAGGCAAGAAAAGCCTAGAGGTTTTAACCCATGATTTAGTTAAGGTTATTTTTATTCTGTTCCAAACTAACTGTTCTACCAGAGCAGAAAAGAATGGCAAATCCTTGGAAACACATCTGTAGGATCTCTATTATTTCCTGCTTGGAGCAAGACACAAAACAAAAAACTTAGTGATTTAAGCCTTTGAACTGGAAGATTTCCCAGAAAGTAAAGATGTGTTTTCACAGTGACTGAGGCCAAAGAAAAACAAACATCCCAAAGCACAAGAAAGATGTCTTTCGGTAACTAGAGGATCTCAACAAGCCATGAATTCAAACATCTGATGCAGGCTTACCTACCTACTGAAGAGTTAGGTAAAAAAATAAGTAAAATACACTTAAGTGCTTAGTTTTTCTTGACTATATTGATATTGCTGGATATTCTGGTTGAAAAATCATAAAAATTAAGGGTGCTCTTGAACCTCAGTCTGGTTCCATTCTAACACTACTGGATAGAGTGGTTTGTAGCTGATAAAGGGAAAATGTGTCAGTTTGGAAATAAACAGCATATTTCTGCAGTAACAGCCTCATGCCAGTAGTTCAGGTTGTCTCAAGCTACATTAGCAACATGCCTGTCTAATACAGTGTCTTCTGAAATTTGTTCAGTGATGCCTCACTGAAAGATAACACTGATCCTTGGCTCGGCTAAATATGCAACTTGCCAGAGGAATGGACAGCAACTGGAGTCAATGGGGCTTAGCTGTTTGCCACAGCATCAGATATTAGTTTAATGGTCAGTGGGTTTTCTTCTCTCTCCACAAAGATGGCATTTTGTTTCATTTTCTGCTTTTAAAAAATAAGAACTGATTCAATGAGGGACTGGGTGGTAGGTCAGGAGGCAGGGTTGCCAAAAGTGTCATTATTTCAGTACCTTTTTCACAAATACACTGGATAACAAAAGCTGTAAGTTGGCAGCTGCAAGTCAGTCAGGTATATTCTGCCAATAGGGGACAAAACTGGGAATTGTTCTGCCCAGAGAATAGCATTTGAATATCAAACACCTGCCACTTTCAAGGTCGCGATCTTTGTGGGTCCCTTCCAGCCCAGGACATTCTGTGATTTCTGGGTGTCTCAGCCACTGCTACAAGGGGCCCACCAAGAAGCAGAAACCCAAAGGCTGTCAGATCTCAGTTTCTGTTGGCTGCATATGGACTCAGCCATAAATGCCATACTAGTAAAACATCCATTTGGTATCTAAGTTTAGATTAAAATATTTTCTGGCACCATCTGTGGCCAAGCAGGAGACACGTATAGAACTGTGTGGATGTACCACTCCACAACTGTCTTGCTAGGGAAGACAGAGAGACGGTTACACCAGAGTAGGTGGAAAAAGCAATTTGTGCAGCTCTAATCTGCAAATCATTGATGAATAGAATCTTTTCATATGTAGAAAATTCAAGTAAAATCTCTGTCCTGTAAAAACACTAAAATTAAGCTTTTTACTGAGAAGGAATTACCTCTAAGACTTTAGTATTAGATGCTATAAATATCTAATATGTGAAGATATAAGTATACACAAATAATGTTTTGAGACATCTTTATTAAGAATTTGAGAAACCTATGCTCCTTCTTACTCAGTCTTTTCATTGATGTCACTTCAGGAAACAAAGGAAGCAACAGCAATAAGATGTGGGAGAAAACCTGCAAACTGATCATCACGAAGAGCCTACTCCTATGGACAAAGTCCAAAATGCAAGTTCTGATGTGTAATATGACATGGAAATTTGAAGTTTTCAAGGGAAAGATATACATAAAAATTATAAAATAAGCATTAACAGACACATTTAAGTATTACATTCCACATTTAACCTTTCCATACTTGAAAATTTAAGTTATACTTCAGTGCTAAAGAGGAAATAAAATTATTTCCTCTTTCATTTCAAACAGCATCTGACCAAAATTCCTCCCTTTTGAAAGACAGAGGTTTGTTATCTAATGCTGTGCGGCTCTTTTGAAGTGTACCATACCTGTCTCTTCACATTTGTTACTGAAATTTTAACATGGTTATAATTGTTACAAAGAATTATTCTTATGAGTGCCACAGAACTTGGAGAAACATGACAAAATCTTACCGCTACATTTCCATTGCACCCTTGGGACTGACAAACACCTCCTATTCTGTTGGGAATTAGCACGTCATCCCAGCAAGATGGGCCCTTCAAAATAAAACCAAAGCATGCAAAGATTATCATTTACTTCATAAATAACATATAAAACTTGGTTTTGTTGCTGCTTTTCCTACTCTTGTTTCTTTTACATTTTAGCTAGACAGTTTTATCATAATTTCACTGAGAGATCATTCAGGTTATATAACAATATTCACCAGTAAAGCCCAGTCACAAACAGGACATGTGGTCCCTCTACTTTAGGGTCAGTGCTGTGAACAGGCATCGATAGTAGGTTACATTTTCTCAGCTCAAGACAGGTACTGAGTTAATCATAATTAAAAAACTACAAAGATTCATTGTCTGGTTCAACACTGTTTACACGTGGGCCTGCAGCTAAGGGGAAAAGGGAAAAAGATAATAGCTGGAAGCAGAATATACAATTAAAAAAACTGTGAATAGATTTCTTGGCTCTAGTTAAAGTCTTTACTTAACTGCAATACAACATAATGTAATTGTTAAGTGAGAATTGTTCTTGGATTTCTAGATATTTACATTAACTTCAATATTTATCAGTCATTATTAAAGAAACTTAAAAATCCCCCACCCCCCACAACATAAATATAAAAATATAAAAACACAGAAAAAAAATCTGACAAAAATTCCTTATTAAACTTTACAATGACTTTTTGAATATACACAGTTCATATATGAGTATATTACCAAGCAGAAAAAAAAAATAAGGATTGCAAATTATCAATATTCCACAACTGCAAAATAATGTGATTAACAGGATGATCTATCAAAGAAGAAAATTTACATATATAGGATATATAGGAACTTTTATAAAAATATTTTGCATCACAAAAAATTGATACTCATATGGTTTCTTTTTTATATTAATTTTACACCAATTAATATTTAATTTACAGACAATAAAATTAATCTGAGCAATAGATAAGAAGTTTACATGTATCCACATATATAGTAGAAATATACAACTAAGGTATCAAAAAGGAGAACATTTGGTACTTGGATTAGTCAGTGTTTGGGATAGAATCAGTGCCCAGGCAATAGCAGAAAATCCTTATCCAGAAGAAAAATTATAGCAGTGAAGACATTAACCACATTAGTGAAATTAGTGCCTACTTAAAACACAGTTGAATTACAAAGTAATCCTGTGTCACATCTAGATCCATCCCATTTCAATTCTGTATTAGAATTCTCTTAGTAGTGTGAACTTAGTGATAAAATGTTGATCCAGCCTATCTGGAAAGTTGAGTAAAACAACTTGCTCTTCACTGAGCTCCAGTTTCTAGTGTCATCCAGTTTAAATGCTGGCTTTTGAGATAAATAAAAAAAAAAAGAGCTTTGACAAATGTAAGTTGAAATGCAGGCAGGCGCAGGGGTGACAAATCATAGTTTTGAGTCCTTGGGTGAACAGAGCTGCAGTGGAGTAGTGTAAAGTAATAATCCTTGATACTGGGGGAGGGAAGGGGAAAGAACCTTGAATGAATGATTTAAAACATTTGAAAAATAAAGTTTTCCATCAATTATTCCAGTGAATTTTTACCTCTCATGAAGTTCTAGCATTCCAGAAACTTTGCAGGAAGAATAGTAAGACCACCCTGAGATGCTGCACAAAGAGTTACCTCTTTTTAATAGCTTTCAACTGAGTAGTTCAAAATTTTGTTTGATGCCACCCAGTTTATTTATTTTTCCCCACATCATCAAAGATTGTACAGATCTCTAGCATTCCTTCCACAGCAGCTTACTTTTCAGGAAAGAAATCATCTACCTTCCCATTCCTCATGTAGGTGCTGTTCCTTATATTTTTCTTTTTATCTTTTACTAGCTCTTCCAACTCTATCATTTTGAAATATAAAGAGCATCACACAGTACACATGACTTATGTGTTGGACCAGTGAATAGGAAGATGATGTCTAGAAATTTGCTCAAATCCTCCTAAATACTTATTAAAATGTAATTTACTTTGCTGATGCTTACTAGGCACCAAGGCAGCATTTTGGTGGAGTTATCTATCAGAGCTCCTAGATCTCATTGCTACATATAAGATATCTCAAAATCCATTTCATATATATAAAATCTGGAGGGTTGTTTTTCCCAGCGCACATCCCTTAATAGTGACATATGTTAAATTTCAACTGCTATTTCAACAGCAGTTGTCATGTGCATCCTAAGGTCCACAGACATGCTTCTAGCAGGTACTTTCTAGGTTCTCCCATACTGAGCCCATGTTTGCTTGCAAGGATGAACCAGTTATATACCTCGCTCTCCAAGTCTACGGCAATCACTTAACACACCTTCTGCTACTGTAATAGTTTAAATGGACTCAGCAACAGTTTTTTTCTACTGTTTGCAGGTAAGAATCTTCAGTAGTTTTGTCCACCAAATTGTATTTTTATATTTAAAGTGTTGGAATTATGGTGGTTTTTTGCTTTCTAGTAGTTTAGTTATCACTGTTAAAGACCAGAGCTTCATTAGTAACATTATAAACCAGGTCCCCCTTCTCTTGGCAATTCTTTAGTCAACCTTTCCACAACGTAACCTGATAGCATCCAGAAGTTTACTCTTGGGATCATGATTTGACATGATACTTACATAACTTACATTAAAGCAATTTAAATACTCAATTATGACAGCTTTTCCTACACTTTCAAGCTTTTGCTTTTCCCCAAAATGTTAGGCTTGCAATCATTATCCAGTCAGACCATTGTTATAGGGAGTAAAAATTTTTCCCCCTTTTGAGGCCTGGAATTTTAATCCACAAGGATGACATCTAACTCACAGACTTGATAAAGACAACCAACACTAACAAGTTAATATTTGATTAACCCCTATCCCTCTTCCTTCATACTTATATGTATTAACACACATTTATTAAAATATTTATTTTTCTAAATTAGAGGAATTCAATACTTTTGGTTTTTTTCTAACTTTGTCTAATCCTTACACGATTTCCATTTGGCAGGAGGTAACTAAAAAAAAAAGGATGAGAAATAAGAAGCAAATGAGTTCTATAAAACCAGAAACATATTTACTCAAACCCCAAGAGAAGCCTTTTTTTTTTTTTTTTTAATCTGGTACTGGTAACATGGGACAATGATTTTTCATGTTTCTTCATCCTTGTATGATTAATAGGAGACTCCCAAAGTTAATGATGCTACACCAGCATTTACACAAAAATAGTCACACTAAGATACACATCAAGATAATTTAAATGAGTGTGTAGAAGCAGTTCCACAAGTATGATATTTGCTCTGGTACTAATTATCTTGATTTTATAAGAAGACAATATTTCAAACTAAACTTCTTAGAGGAATTGATGCTTTACTTCACTGAAGTTATTTCAGGTGAAAGCTTCCCAAGTATTCATTAGTTTGCAGGTCTGGGTATATAGTCACAAAAAGGTAAGGAGGCATATTAATTCTCAAAATAGAAAAAAACTCCAAAACATCCACAGGATTATTTATAAGGTTGAGGTTCTAGAGAAATGCATTTGTAAAAGAAACCCAAAAGGGGTGACTTGATGCAATGCTGATTACCACTAGAATGAACTACTACAAGTAACACTACATCAGGTCCAAATATGCTTACTATGAAAATATTTTATTAATTAACAATAACAATATTAATAGGAATTTTGCATTCACCTTTAAGTTCTTATTTCCAAGGTAAAGCTAATGTGCTACATGGCTTGATATGAACTTACAGTGCTCTCCCTCTCTGCAATCATTTCCTTACGATGTTTCTCAAGCACATGAGGCTACTTTGCACAAAGCAGCTCACTGAAATAAAAATGTCATCTTTCACTAAAGACATGTTAGAGCACATACACAGGGAACTAGGAGCACAGTTCCACATTATCAGCAACTATCAACTGTTCACTCACACTATAGCTAAGAACTTCCTAATTTTTTCCTTCATAAAAACCCTCACAATATTCATAACTTCTTTATCTCTTATGATGATTTCTTTTTTTTACGCAAAACCTGTAAAAAAGTCAGATGCATTTAACTCTTTTGGTAACATTAACCAGACCCAGTTTTAAGTCAACAAGTGTTTCTTTTTTTCTGTTTTAGTAAAAGTTAGATCAAGTTCTCGAGGCACAAGAAGGCATTGATCCAGCAGGAATTATAGACTGACAGAATAAAATGGGTTTCAACCTGTTTAACGTTGATGAGTGGAGAGGAAAAAAAAGTGATAAAACAATAAACCCCAATCAACCAGAGAGCCCCCATTCCACACCTCATTTTCCAAATTAGTAAGAGGAAAAATCTCCTTTTCCACATCTGTTCTTGGCATTCTTTACGGCCACATTTTATTATTAATGCTAATCTAACACACTTTCAAAAGATTTAGTGTGCTTGAAAATTTTAGTTTTCCACCTTCAAAACAAAAATAGTAGAAAAGACATTTGTCCTTGAAAAACACTGTGCATTCAAAATGTTAATGTTTCTGTAGCGACAGTACTACTAAATGTCACTGCTATAATTGCATCAAAACACAATTAGGAATTCTGGCAAGATAAACACTTTGAAATGCAATTTTTGTATCGTTCTTTCTTGAGTCTAAGAAAAGCCTGTCAACCTGCAGGCCAGCCAATCACTTGTGGTGTTATAACACTGCAGGCTCTAGTGTTTGTAATTATTAGTTCGCATTAATCAAGAACATACTGTGAGAGGAACAAAGCCTTCTGATTGCGAGATTAAAGCAACTGCCCCTCTTGTACCCAGCCAAATGGCTCACAGAGAAAGCTGTGCATTAAAATAAACACATCAGAGAAGGCTTTTCCGGTGTATAAGTGGGAAAATGGCAGAATAAAGAAAGAAATAGAAAGAACACCACTGAATAGAAAAAGAAATAGCAAATGTACTTGAGTATTTCCCACATAAGTAGGTATGGAAATTTCTGTGCCTTGAGCATATGGCAGCTGTTCCTTTCCTTTTTGAAGGGGAAGACAGGAAAAAAAAATGGCAAATGTATATTAAGCTTGAAGTGAAACTCCTATGCAGCATATGAAGAACAGG